TTTTAACTAATGCAAATACCAACTATTATTTACATCGTTCATCAAGATACATCATTTACATTTCCCGTTGATCGGGAACCAATATCTTTAACTGTTACCAACATTTACCATTTTATATTTAACTACTATGGATTTTTTACTATATCGCTGGTCGATATTGAGCCTTTCTTTTTACAAATATGAACTACTGTATGGCGCTAAATAGCCTAAAAGTGCTGGTGCGCTGTTAAAATTAAATCAATCAATCAATCAACCATGCCCATACATCAATGTCAAGGCCATTGTGATGACAAATATAAATTAGTGACCTCAGTCCATGTTTATGTTTGTCGCTTTGACCTACATTTTGAAGTCTTGTGATTTGGTTTAACCTTAACATTTAGCTACTCAGTAGCCTATGGAGTCACAAAACATAGTGTTATTATATCATAAAAAGTACTACAACCATGAATACAAATTAGTTCACTGTGATCTGTATTTCATAGCCCATTAACTTTGGTTAATCTTTATGTTCGGCTAATTTTCTCAGAAACTTAAAACCTATAAAATATTATGGTATTGCACTCCTACTATAAGCAAATCTAGGTGAATGTGAGCTGTGTTTCATTGGTTTGTATTTCATCTTTGCATTGACCTCAGTTTCTTAAGGTTAAGGTGTGAGTTTGCCATTGTTGCTTTTAGGGTCAGTAGATTCACACATGTTTGTTTTTAGATGTGTCAGTCCATTCAGAAGAAAGAAATCTTAAATGACTGGTACCTGATTAATAAAGAAAATTGAACTTTTTCATGGTTTGTAATTCATGTATAATGTCTTTGGTAGTTTTCTTTATATATATATATATATATATATATATGTACATAATCATACTTAAAGTCACACAGGTCATGTAGGCATTCAACATCAGCTATTTCAGTAATGAGTGTCATTTCTTTAAAATTTCATTCTGCATACCTTTAAGTGGCAAGTATTCACTTCATTTGGATTCTTATTCATCAACATTCTTTTGGAATATCACGATTTAGTTGCCCGAGAATTGCTACAACAAAATCAGTGTTAGTTTCTTTGTTTGTTGTTGGGCTTAACGCCATTTTTCAGCACACGATAGGCTATTCATGGCGGCCAGTATTAATGGTGGAGGAAGAAACCGGGAAATCACCGGAAAGAACCACCGACCCACGAGAAGCTACTGGCAAGCTTTCTCACATATCTACATTAGCCGAATCCTAGACTCGAACACACGCAGAGGTGAGATGGCAGTGATCCGTAACGGACAGCGCTTTAGACCACTCTAAACCGCTTTGGGGCCCACTCGGCCACTCTAGACCGCTTTGGGTGGCCGAGTGGTCTAAATCAGTGTTAAATTATGTCAAAATGTTTGGAAGAAATGAACTTAAAGGTGTGATCCAGTACAGTCTGGATTGAATGATGTGATAAGTGATGTCACAATGAAAGCTATGTACATGGATAAGCAAATTGGTACTAATCTATATTGTGATGATTCCACTTAAAGCTATCTTTTTTCTACCCAGGATTATTATATGGTCACCATTGTAAAAGATCCTTTATTTTCATCTGGAAGTTTTTCAATGATAGTTAAGATGCAGAGCATTCAATAATCATGATTTAATAAACTTGGTTGAAGAAAATTAGTTTTAAATTTTTCAAATAATAATTTATATATAAATTTGAAATGAGTAATACATATACTTGTCCCTTGTGACTTTTGATATCATGACTTAACATTGACTTGTATATCCAGAGACGTACACCCTGATTTAAAATCAAGGTGTAAGTAAGAGACAATGTGTTTCATTACTGAGGTTGTGCCTTTTTAACCACTACAAATATTTTCATGAATCATTGCTCACATCCACACCTTATCATGCAATTGACAAGTCTCTAGCTCACATGTCAAGGTCAAAAGTAGGGAAATGGTCACAAAACATGTCAAGGTCAAAAGTAGGGATATGGTCACAAGACATGATATCAAGGTCAAAAGTAAGAAAATTGTCACAAAACATGATGTCGAGGTCAAAAGTAGGGAAATGGTCACAAAACATGTCAAGGTCAAAAGTAGGGAAATAGTCACAAAACATGATGTACACATTCTATTTTCAGTACTCTTGTTATCAATTACTAAATTTAGACATGAATCTTATAGTTAATGATCAAAATGAAATGTAGCATATTTGCTCTTATTAAATATACATACAACTTTTAAGAGAATAGACTATAATATTGAAGTATAAAAACTCCATAGAGCTTATGTTACTGTTTTGAAATCCAAGTACATGTATAAATAAATTTTGCTTGTACATGAAAATGTGGGTTAGCAGTAATGGCTGGGATATGCTAGAGTGTATAACTGCAAATGTGTTTTATATTAACTCACGGTTGGATATAGATCATATGTAGATGCCAAGAATATGCAGTACTAGATATAATTCATCACCTGTGATATTTACCTGTAGGCATTTACTTGACATGTATGAGCAGTTTTTTCCATTCTCATCTTATGAAACACCTGTACATTGAAAGTTATATTTAAGTACACCACAGTATAAATATTTATAGCTGCTTATGAAAGGCACATTATGAAATCTCAAATGAAAATCCCATACACCATTTTCTTCATCTAATATCATCAGATTACCTCTTTTTTGCCTGTAAGTTTGTTATTAAAGATTTGATTTTACATGCATGCATTTTATTCATACAGACATGAATAGGGACAAAGGATTAACAAATACTGGAACTATTCACTTTTAGTCTACCAATTATTCCTATTCAGAATAGCTTGCTCTTGATACAAAATTACCAGGTGTTTCATCTTTTACTTAATGGAAACCATTTTAAAAAGGCCAAATTTGTTATGCCCTCTCCTCCTTCCTCTTCAGTTCTTAGTATGAGCTTCTCTTTGTTAGAAATTATCCATCAGAGATTTCATTGCAACTTTGCCTGAAAGATCTAGATATGGTTTTCGGCTTTATGTGTCATTGCATTGGCTTCACAATGAACAAATAAGGCGAATAGCTGTCCTTTCAAGTATACTAGATCCAGCAAAGGAAAGCTTATGTCGGGGATTGATTAAGATGGATGCAATAAACTGATAACAAACAGTGTAAAACTAGTACCTGACTAGTCTGATTGCTTTCGAAACCTAATATGTTTCAACTAGTTTACTTAAACTTGTTATGGACGCAGTATGTATGTTATATTGACCTAGAATTTAATTGAGCAATAACGACATCTGTTATTTTATGCAAATTTATGTCAGCGCATCCAGTTTTTGTAGTAATTATAAGCTATTGGGTGACTAACAAGCAAATTTAAAGAATCATTTAAAAGAAAATATGTCGGTTGCAAAAAGATAACAAATTTTTAGTTCATGACTGTCTTTTTCTAGTCTTCTTATAAACAACCACTTGGTTTCAATGTTCTAAGGCGGCGCATCCAGTAAGATAAATTTTCCAGTATCCGCAACAAGTAGACTATTTGAAACAATAAATTTAAAATTTAAAAGTTTCATTCCTATAGAAATAGTCATGTAAAGATTTGCAAACAACGATTTTTCTGTATTGTATTTGCTTGTTTTGTCTATGTTTTGTTTGTGTGGGGTTTAAAGTCATTTTTCAGCACAAGATAGGCTATACATGGCGGCCAGTATAAATGGTGAAGGGAAAACCCTGGACGAACCACCGACCCACCAGACGCTACTGACAAGCTTTTTCACGTACCCACGTTGGTCGAGCCCGAGACTAGAACCCACGCAGAGAAAAATGAGATGGCATTGATCCGTAACGGTGATTGCTTTATACCACTCTGCCACCCATGGCCTGTTTTGTCATCTTACATTGAAATAGACTCATTAAGAATGGAGAGCGCTGTTATATCATTAGTTACCGTCAAATTTGGTTGCAGAAAAAAGTATGCATTGCTTTGGTATCTTTTCTTATATATATATATATATATATATATATATATATATATATATATATATATATATATATATATATATATATATATATATATATATATATATATATATTCCTGCGATTCGGAACTTGCTGAGTTTGACAAGGTTCCTTCAAACCTAGTCAAAATGCACTGGAGTTTAGACGAGCTGTTGTAATGTTAAATTTAAAGAAGTTAATGTCAGTTTTACATTTTCAAAATATATGTAATGGAAGTGATATTTTACACAAAATAAAAAAAAAATTAGCAATTTCAGTTTATTGTTTTTAAAATATAATTTGTAATGATAGAGAAAGTTAACTTAAGACTTCAGTTGTAGACTGTACTAGTATATTAATCACATTGATACAATAATATGGATAAGTCGTACTGTAAGTCTCCAAATTTTACAAAGTAACTAAATTTTGTGAATTAAGTGGGAATAATTTAAAGGGTATCCATTGGTGGCAAGCGAGAGTTTATTGTACAGCTCGAAATAGCCGACAATTTCATTAGGTCATCATTGTGACATATGTTGTTCTAGTAATGTCTTTTTTGCAATATGCTCCCGGAGTTATATGGGATGAAATATGATATAGTTGAAACTTATGTAACTGACATAATGACATAAAAATGTATGTGCCATTTTAAGGACAGCAGTGAAGAACTCTAATAAAGAAAACAAGTTTACGATACTTAATGAAACCATCTGAGGTTTACGTCCTGCTGTAAATTAGTTTCATATAGATATTTAGAGGTATAGTGCTTATTGTAAATATGTCGCAGAGATAAAAAAAATATCCAACAATATACACTATTTGATTACAAGAGCAATCTATGATACGCAAAAAATGCAAATTTTACCGATTTTTTTTTAAATTCAGAAATGCGTTTCAACATGTTTTAATGGACTTTAAAGCTAAATCTATTGCAGCAGAATGAATGTTGACTTCTTATGTGTTAAAAGAGTTTAATAATTCAACACATTCCACCCATCATCCATAATGCATGAAAACTATTGAGTTGAATACAAAATGAATAGATCGATCCGGTGGCCTAAAAGTGGTTAGAGCGTCTACCTCTGATGCGGGAGGTCTCGGGTTCTAACCCGAACCGAGTCATACCTACCTCGTTTAACACTCAGGATTAAGAGATTAGTGTTGCGACTGGTCGGCCTAGTGTCAGGATATTGTGACTGGGTGAGACATGATGCTACATGTCTGCGGCATAATGCACCAGTGCTAGACATCACTATAAACTACCACACTGCAGACATCGTAGCGATATGACTGAAAAGTTGCTGAAGCTACATCAAAGATCCAACACACACACACACAAGATAAAAAAAAATTGAGATTCAATCTTCAGTCAGTACAACCAACATACTTATTTTAAAGTTCGGGATGAAGCATTCCGAATATGCTGTAGTACTTTGTATTTAATCCCGACCCGTAATAAGACTTCTGGATTGTAGTCGGCAGTATTTTGGTAAATATACACATACCATATTATTACATTATCCCAAAAAAAAGACGCTTTTTCATTTATTCACACAGCATGCGATTTGCGTTAATTTATATTAATACATGATTCCCAGGATCAATTATTTTTCACTGGAGGCATGACGTGATATGTAATATTTATAAATGACGTCTGGTCACCGGTCTATCAGCAAAAAAAATTAAGACAATTATAGATCTTTGATCTTTTAATAAATAGCGAGTTTTATTAACCAGTACACGTATCATATTGATCGGTCGGTCAATATAACATTTACTGGTTAATAAAACTTCGTCTCAAGAAAGGTCTATATTGTATGATATTGACCTGTCCCGACATCAAAATACTCTTTAAACGTTGCGCAATTGAAATGGCGTTCTCGCTTGCTGAAATAAGTTTAATTTATTTAAAAAATTTTTTACTTAAATAGCATTTTAAAACTACTGTAAACCCCTTTGAGTGGTGAATATGAGTCTTATGAGCCGGTAATTATTAACACCCATTTTGCATTAGTCAATATAATGTTTACTAGAAAATAAAATTTCATAATCTCCTCAACAAAGGTCGATAACTTTATATTTTGTTGTAAAAAGCATAAACATAGATTTACCGGAGTAGTCCTGAACGGCAGGGCTAGTTCTACACTGCTGGCGCGTGTACGCGTCTGTAGGTGATATCCGTGTCAATGTCCTGATAAATATGTCGAGAAATGATGTAATTGTGGAACATTTTATATGGAAATCTAGGCCCTCTGTTCTGTTTACCTCTTTCAAATCACTTTCGCCTAAAACCGTACCCATGCACGTATAATAAAATAATTTTTAAAACAGTTGTCAAATTTGTAACATTTGCGATATCTGATAGTAATAAGTCTACGAATGATGTAAAATCCAATTTCTCTGTGTCACGGAATAAAAATTGTGTATTGCCAGTATGCGTTTACGCATTTTTGTGGGTTTACAAAAATATAAATAATTAACAGCTCAGATTCAAGCAAGACGGGTTCCTAGCATCTTAAACAAAATTTCTTCGCATAAAGCAATGCAAAATATAACCTTGATTTCTATAGATTTACGGCCCCAAAAAATTGAAGTTCAAAATACAAGCTAAATTTCTGTGGATTTTATGGCCCTAAATAGTATCAACTCAAGCTTACTAACCTTAAATTCTTTTAATTTATAAAATGGGGTAGGATGGGGACAAAATTAAGTTACATTGAAATTCAACACCTCCAGGCTCAACCCTAGGGCAAAGCGAACGAGGCAACCGCCTTGGGCTTCGAGCTTCTCCGCAATGCAGTTCTTTTGCTTGGGGCCCCGCGCTCATCGCCTGCTGCCTAGGGCCCCGCACATCCTAGGGCCGGGCCTGGACATCTCCCTTCAGTGATGTTACACTGGTTATTACATAACTTGTATTGGGCTATGTAAGCGTACCCTGCAATTAGTTTTGCATAAAATCATACTTCATCCAAAAATTAATAGCTCCCTCCCCCACCAAAAAATGTAAAAATCTGAAAATAGCTCAGGCCCATTACCGTCCTTGAAATAAAGTGTATACAAATGGTGGTGGAAGAGAGAAAAAGAATGAAAAATATTATGTTTATACATTTACAAATATATCGGTGTTCTTTAAGAGTAATAAACATAGTTTCCATCTTACATGTGTTACCTCAAATAGAGAATGTATATTGTTGTTTGTCAAAGGGAAGTTTTATTGCTCCTTTGATATCTTTCTTTAATCTTGAGGGAACAAGAAGTCACTTACATGAATGGTAATAACTATAGATATGTTTTCTTACTTTTACCAGGTAGAAACCAAAAGACGAGACCATAAAATGGTTCCTTTTGAAATCAAACCCAATATATTACAATGGAGAATTGGCAATCCAAAACTCTGGTCGTAAATATCAGAAAAAAATATCAGGAAATAAATACAAACAGCATGATGCAGCTGTAGATCTGGGTATAATCAGTTGAGCTACCTCCCCCCCCAAAAAAAATAACCCACCATGATCTGCCAGCGGATTATGCGACTACTAATCTGGGTCTTCGTTGTATGCAATTTGACCGGACTAACAAGCGAGTACATATGTAACTGACATAGGCTATAGTGCTGAAAACAAAACGATATATTTAAAAATAAGGCAAAATAAATATATTTCCTATTGCTCTGTTTTTATAATTAGGGTAGTTAGGCAGGTGTGTGTGTGTATGTATGTGTGTATATATATATATATATATATATATATATATATATATATATATATATATATATATATATATATATATATATATATATATATATATATATATAATGTCCAAAGCACCTAAATTTAGGCGGGAGGGGTGGGCTAGGGATAGTCTGCGAACCGGGAACACGCATAGTTTTTGATCTAAAAGAAACTACATTAATTATATTCAAATATTGATCACAAAACATGAACAGTTACAGTCTTGGTTATTATGAAGACGCACACAAACATGGAATCATTTCCTTTATGAATAACTTTGGAAAATCTGGATTGCAATTACAATTACTAACTTTTTATTAGAGCATTGGATTAAATTACAATCCTCTTTAAAGATTTTACAGTGGTTGTACTCTTTTTTTTATCGTATTTCTTGTCTAAATTGCATGTGTGTTAATGTGTAACAAATATTCATATTATTAAGGCTTCTTCATAATTCGATAACCTTAAGTAGTTCGTAAGGTACGTTTGTTTATGTATAAAATGACAAAGCTCCCAAAATGTATATGTATATTCGTTTATCATTCACTGCGCAAAAAAACTGAAAATCACATTTAAAACAATGTATGAATATGTAATAATGTAGTAATAACAGTCATTTTGTTGCATAATATTCCTGAATTGAATAAATTAACCAGCAATAATTTGTAGTCAATGTCTGTCTGCAATTTTACCTAATTACTTACAAATTATCTATCTATCTATCTATCTATCTATCTATCTATCTATCTATCTATCTATCTATCTATCTATCTATCTATCTATCTATCTATCTATCTATCTATCTATCTATCATACGTAACATTCATTCATGCATACACATACATACATACATACATACATACATACATACATACATACATACATACATACATACATACATACATACATACATACATACATACATACATACATACATACATACATACATACATACATACATACATACATACATACATACATACGTATATGTGATCAAATTGCTTGTGTGTAAGGTTTAAAATTCTGTTTTATTATTTTTGTTTCATTGTATTTAATTGCAATGAATATTTTTCTCGGATTCGGGATTCTAATTGTAGTAGTGAGATATATTTTTAGCACAAAGTTTGTTTATTCATGACAAAGATGTAATACGTGAGAATTGACATTAAGTCCGTCTTACCTTGGTAACAATATCAACGGGAAGTTAAAAAGATTTGTCAGCATCACGGACTTACTTTCTTCGCGTGATCACTGTTTGTAAACAGCCTTTTTATGATTGGTTACATACATACATACATACATACATACATACATACATACATACATACATACATACATACATACATACATACATACATACATACATACATACATACATACATACATACATACATACATACATACATACATACATACATACATACATACATACATAGATGAGGTGACGTTGAGCAATCGGTATCGGGCACTTATACCTAACTCATACATACCTCCTGATGGCTTAACCACGACCAGAGTGCATATCATGCCAGGTTGTGCTGGTGTGGAACACATTTTTACTGATTTTTGTATAGAACACGTATACCTGACTCGTGCATACGTCTTGATGGGTGAACCATGATAGGTGTACATACCCTGTCAGTGTCAAAAGGCATTAGAACGCTGTCTTGTTGAGTGTACTGACTTCCACCTTTTGAAACAGAAGTTCATTGATATCTTTACAATGACGTACCACTAAATAAATTCATTGAGTTACCGTTGCGTGTGCATATATGTGTATATATGTATTATTCAAAATCCGCTTCTCCTCGTCACTACATTTAATTTTCACTAAATACTTTACATACTCCATATTGCTGTACAAGGCATCAAAGTATGTGAACAAGAGGATATGTAATTGTTTCTATTATAAGTTATTCTTTCACACATTGTGTTAAATAGTGCATGATACTTAACTGTAAGATGCTACTATTACAATACTTTTTAGCCATTTCTTCACAATCAGAGTACCATTATTCCACCCCGTGAATAGTGCATTATCAATAGCTTTGATGCTTTAACTTGATGTCATATTGTTAATGCTGGTATTATGCTGACGCGCCGTTAAACCGTTGTGCTGTCTTTTCATTTGCACCAAAATTCCAATCTATTCCACATACATGAATAAACAAAAAATTATCTTGCGTCGTTCTTATTTTTTACAATCCATTCCACCCACCTGTGCAATCAACTTACCCGATTCTTTAGATAAAAAAGAAACAATTTTAAATATACACATAACTAACTATAGTATACAAAATCTTTACTATAGTGTATATATACTTAACTATAGTGTATTCAAACTTTGTCCTCGCCTATATTGCCTTTTGTCAATTTAGTAATATTCTCCGT